GAGAAAAGCAGAGTCTGTCCGGAACGCCAATCTAATTAAAATCCGAACCTAGAAGAATCTAGACAAGAGTAGCGAGAGATTGAAGGGAAATCGGTTACCATCGACCGGGTAAAGCGTGACCCACTCAACGACCATGATGATGAGTGGGTTTGGGAGTTTCCAGAGGCGGGGAGGGTTTGGGAGAAAGAGGGATCTGCAAGATAAGCAGAGGGTTTGGGAGTTGCAGAGGCGGAGAGGGTTTCGGAGGCGGCCACATGAGGAGATGGTTTGGGAGTTGCCAAAGGTGGAGAGGGTTTTCGGGAAAGAGGAATCCGAGTTTGGCCCTGCTCCGGCTCCCGGAGTGATGCGACGGCAGATAGGGATTTTGAGGGAGAAGAGGAGCTGCTTTGGAGAAGGCTGTGATATTTTTGGGGAAGATGAGTTCCAGAAGAAAGATGATGAAAATTTTTGTGGAAATTTTTTTTCTTTCCTTTTGTTGCCAACGAGAGAAAGGGGAAGTGAGGTGAGGAAGGACAAATCATTTAATTAATTTTATTTTTTATTTTCACTAATTAATTTCTGATGTCCATTATTGTTTTTTTTTAATTAATCATTATCCACGTAGATAATTACAGAGGATATTGGAAATAAGAGCTCGCCACATCACCATTTCCGTTTGTCCAGTCAGACTTAACGGTAACAGCGTTAAAGAATCGGACGGAAGTGGCTATTAGTGGTATTTCGCCAAATGTGGCTATAAGTGGCACAAAGGTGAAAGTTTTGGCTATGCAAGGGTATTTTGCCATATCAAAATTACGAGACAAATTTGTGATAGAATAGTTGGCACCACTTTTTTTTTTTTTTTTTTTTTTTTTTTTTTGCGTGAAGCAGGAGGCTGAAGCCAAGAAGATTACAAAGGGGATTAGGAAGAGGGGGGAGAAAGAGCTGGAGACAACCCTCCGCTCAAAACTAGTACCCATCCTATCATCTCGCAGAATCGAGGTTAAACCTGTTGGCGGGTTCGCAAGCTCATACATACTGAAGGGATAGACGAGACTATGCTTCACGAGCCAGTCCGCGACTCTATTCCTTTCTTTGTACGTATGAATGATCACTCACTTAATCGAAATTGCGAGTCCGCGACTCTATTCCTTTCTTTGTACGTATGAATGATCACTCACTTAATCGAAATTGCGAGTCCGCGACTCTATTCCCTTCTTTGTCCTTCGAGAGCTCTTTGTTCTTCCTTGATCGAGATTGAAGCAAACACTCACTTGGAAACCTTAATAATGGTGAAATCGAATGGTGATATTTTAGTTTGTTGCCTTTCTGCGTGTCGGTTAGGCACAGTGAAATCTAGGTTGTCTTACAACGACGTAGTACAAGAGTTCATTGGGTTGCTCGGATTTTTACGAACTCTAATTGTTTGAGCGATTGGACAATGGTTCTTAATTTAGTCCTAAATTTAAGAGGTGTAATGTTGCTTTGTGCTCGTTCGATTCAATGGAATCAAGTTATTCTTATTGTAGAAGACCTACATAGTTTTGAATGGACATCATCTCACTTCATATTGAGTTTGGAATTAATATGTTTGTTTATCTTAGAATCACATTCTTGTGATTGTGATATTGCTAATTACTCGTTTATATTTGTCATCTTATAATGGTAAAACTCTCATGACTCCCAATTGTGTAAGGCTTCACTTCGTAGCTAAATTCATTTATTATTACATTGTTGCAACTCTAAACATTGAGATCAGTGGCGGAGCTAGACATTTGAATGAGGGAGGCTGACTTGAATCTTGATATTTGGGAGAGAGGGGCTAAGCCCTTACTGACTACTCTATTACTTAAATTTGATACAAATTTTACATCTAATTTTACTTGTATTTCAAATTTGAGGGGGTTATAGCCCCTCCTCGCTTCAATCTAACTCCTCCATTGTTCATATACTAATTGCTACATCAAGAACTAGTTTTGTAATTGTTTTATAGCGAGGAAACTTGTGTTCGAAATTAATGGTTGCACTTTTGGCATATATGGATAACGACTCAATATATGGTTCATGTCTCTTCGAACAATGTTTCAACGAGGGCGTTTTATGTTTTTGTTTGTCTTCCAAGAACAAGTTAAGTTACACTTACACAAACTCATATGAACATTTAGTGAGAGCTCCAAATTAAAGGCTGTAGCTATTGCTATTGTTACATTGCAAAGAAAAGATAAGATCTGACATGTGATATCAAATGTTGGTTTTGAGATCTGTCTTCCATCTTCTTCCTCCAATTTATAGCCAAATGATGTAAGCATCGTGGTAACCGCTAGCTTGTTGTCCGCTCTAACCGTCTCGCATCACCTCATCGTCGCCTTGGCGACTAGTTGGTAATCGTTGTCCATATGTGTGATCCAACCGCCTCGGGGGCCCCTCGTCCCATTTTTGTTCTCATGGTCTTGTTGACTAGATAGGGTTGAAGCATCCTCCCCTTGTGTCCCTCATGTAATCTCAATCACATCGCCCCTGCTATCGGGCCTCCTTGACCGCTCTGACAGCCCTGGTGACTCCATGGTATCCTCGCCACTTTCGTCCTGCCAATCACCTCAAACACAATGTCACTATCTTGTTGGTTAACCCTTTTTATCCACCTTGATTAGATGAGAACTTAGCTCCTTCCACGTCTAGGTACATGGCCTCTACCCATCAAGATTTCATACTTAGTCTCGGAGGGCTTGACATGATACATCCTGTCAGCTTGGTATCTAGTCCATCTCGTCATTTTGTTACCAATTCGACTTGCCACCAAGCACGTGGCTTGACATCTTACTGCTTGCCACAATGCTTTCCATCTGTACTTGTCACCAAGTTTGCCTTAAGAACTTATGTCCTCTCAGCTTGCTACCAAGCTCGTCTTGCCTGCAAGCTCGTTTTGCTTGTTTGATACCATGTTGCCTTGTCTTCGTCTTGTTAACAAGTATATCTTATTGGAAACATAACCCAGGCATGCCCCCCTTACGAACTAGGACACCATAGCTTGTGTCATCAACATGATACCTTGTTGCCTTGCCGACTTGGTACTCTGTTAGTTTTCCACCAAGCCCGTCTTGTTGGCTTTGTACCTAGTTGGTAACTAAATTTCATGCCTACTAGCTTGTCACAAATTCGACTTGTTACCAAGCCAATACCATTCATGGTGAGACCTAGGGGTGACTATTGGTCCGGGTTTTTTGGGTTTACCTGAAACCGGACCGAGATTGAACGAAGACCGGATAGCAAGCAATCTAATCTAATTTTTGGGCCTAGATTTGAGGTAAAAAACTGTTCGGAACCGAACCAAAAACCGGATAAAAGAGCCCAACACTCAAAATTTAACCTCCTCACCCTTTCAAGCCTCACGCCACTCAAGTCCCCACGAGCTCAATCTAAAATCAAGATCGAATTGGGAACAGACCGATTCAAAATCGAATTGGGACCAGACCGGTTCAAGACCAGACTGTATCCAATCCAATTTTTGGTCCTTATATTCTCGAAAAGGCCGTACCGGGACTAGTGATGGCAAATTCAACCCGCCCCGCGGGTATTACCCGACCTGACCCGCGATGGGGCGGGTATTACCCGACCCGCAGTAGCGTGGGGCGGGGCATGGATATCTACTTCCGACCCGCCCTGCCCCGCCCCGTTCTAGACTCATTTTATCTCAATTTCTTACAATATCTATACATATTTCTCCTATTTTGACTTTTCTTCAACTAGTTAGAGTCGATCTTTCAACTTGTTAGGCTCAATTATCCATTCTATTATCAATATTTTTCATTCTTAAAGTATTTTTCCCTACGTTTTATTGTAAAAAGTAAATTTTACTTGTATGTTTTTGAACAACATGTAAGAGTGGGTCGACCCGCCCCGCCCCGTACCCGCGCGGGTTTTACCCGCCCCGACCCGTAGTAGCGTGGGGCGGGGCATGGAAATTGAGGTACCCGCCCCGCCCCATTGCCATCACTAACCGGGACCAGATCAATTCGGGCCAATTTAGCCGGACCGGACCGTCTAGCCACCCCTAGTGAGACCGATCAACCACTGACTCCCAAAAACCAAACTATGTAGAGCTATGGATGGTAATTTCGACCTGACCCATTTTACCCGACCTGTTTGGCCTGTTTTGGGGTGGACATGGGTACCTCTCGGTGACCCGACCTGCCCTGACCCGCCCCATTCTCGACCCGTTCTTGCCTTAATTACATGTAATCTTAGTCAAATTACTTAGATTTTTCCTCATATTACCTCATATTTTAGCTATAATAAAGTTGTAAATAAGTGAAAACCTCAATTTCTCCAATACTTTAACTACATTTTATCATATTATGGTTTATTTCTTGGTCTTTTAATGAAAATAATATTTATTTTTAAATTTTTTCACATAAATTACATACCTATTGGGGGTCGACCTGCAGCCGACTCGAGCCCCATGATAAATTACCCGACCTGGCCTCCTACTTACCACGGGACGGATATGGGTATCGAGATACCCGACCCGGACCTGCCCCATTGTCATTCCTATGTAGAGCACAACTTAAATCGTTTAATCCTTAAAGTCGATATGACCTTATAAAACCATTAAACCTTTTATAATAAATCAAGTTAGTATGAAATTAATTTTTAGATGTAATCAATAAATTAAATATATATAAATTCATTGTTCTAGTGAGATATTAAAAGATATTCATTAAATGTATACCACGATTATATTTTTGTATTTAGTTTATGAACGAGCTTGCATCTTTCTCTCTCTCCAATACTTTTGATTAGCAATTTGACCAATTAATAAAATTTTCGAAAAAGTATTGCCTTCTGTACTAAAAAGGGGAAATTCTTAGAATTTGAGGAGAAGTTTTCCGAGAAAACTTGAGACAAACCCAAACCCACCATTTTTTTTTTTTAATTTTGGTTAATATTCCTCGCCATGTTTCCGCCACACATTGACAAGCCTAAATAAAAAAAGGCGGGAGAAGCGGGGAAGCAAATGGACCATCGTCCATCGACGTCGGTAATTTTCCCTCACAGTTTTTTCCTGGTTCGACAGAATTTTGGCTGCTCCAAAGCAAAACTAGGAAACCCAACAAGAAAGCCCCAAAAAAAGCAGCAATGGGTCAGCGGCGTCGTTGGTGTGGCAGACCTTCTTCTCCTCCATTATCGTCGTCTTCTTCGGCTTCACCCCCTACAAATTACTATCGCTTTCAACACCACCTCAACCCTCTCATTCTGATCTGGGTTGTACCTGAGCAAGGTACATCCATATCTCCTCTTCACCTCCACGCTTCCCTTGACCTCCCTTTTTCAATTTAGTTGATTGGATTTGGATTACCCTCCATTCCATGCTTGCCCTTGAATCTCCTACCTCAGGTTTCTACCGCAATTGTTAGGGTTTGGTCAGGAGACTCGCCCATTAATTGTTAGGGCTGTGGCGTGTTGGAGGATCTCTGCCATACCCATTTACGGTATTGATCCTTCTTGTTGCTGGGTCGCCGTTAAACTGAGCAATTTTTTTTTTTTCCATTTTGAATTTTTGATTGGGAATGTGATTCTTTTTTGTTATCTGTGTAGAAACTTAGCCCAGTATGCCTCCGTTTATATTCTTCCACCGGGCAAGGTAACATCTCCACTTTCTTTTGATTATGGTTTTTTTTTTTTTTTTGCGCGCGCTTTCCCTTTAGATGAATTCTATGGAAAAATTGTGATGCTTAGCCTGTTGGCGTGGATTGTACATAGTAATGTTTTTTTGTGAGCTTGTGTGTGGCTATCTGTACCTCCTAACCACCATCTGCTTATTCTGATATCTGATCATTTACTGGAAACTTGGAAATAACCCTCCAAAATTTGAATGCCTAAGATGCCAATTTCATATATTTCTCCAGGGAAACTTTCGCAGCCGATGCGTTGGGGTTAGAAATATTGGAAATTGCAATTCCAGCTGCACTGGCTTTGGCAGCAGATCCCATTGCTTCTCTGGTTGACACTGCTTTCATTGGCCATATAGGTTTGTGATGTTCTGTCATGTTCACCATTAACTGGTTTCGGTTGGTTGGTGAGGTTTGGTGGTTTGTTTGACGTTTCAATATCATTGCTCCTAGGTCCTATTGAGCTAGCGGCAGTTGGTGTTGCAATTGCCGTGTTCAATCAAGTGTCAAAGATTGCAATATTTCCAATCGTCAGTGTCACAACTTCTCTGGTCGCTGAGGAAGATGCCATTGCAACATTGAGTTCTGATGAACGGGAGAGTATAGAATTACTAGATACTTCTCCTACTAGTGTCAAAGAAACAGATGAATTGTTACCCAAACATGGTATATCCTTTTCTTCCTGTCTGTGCTTTGTTGTGTTTTTTTTCAAACGGATATGGTTACTGTTTTAATCCCCAGAAACGATTTAGTTTTGCTTTGCTTAGCCTTTTCCCAAGTCCTGGCAGTTGTGACATAATTGTCTTCTGTTCTTCTTTTAATTAATCAGGTGCATCACTTGATTTTACACCATCGTCAGCCTCTAGCTTCAAAAAGGGACAGTTTGAGAAAAGACACATCCCATCTGCTACTTCAGCGCTGGTTGTTAGTTGTGTACTTGGTTTGGTCCAAACTATGTGTCTCACCATTTTTGCTGAACCTGTTCTCATGTACATGGGTGTGCATAAGGTAAGTGAATCCAGTAATCTGCAAGTTAGGGAGCGAAATTTATCCATCTTATGCTGAGAAAAGTAAAATTCCCATTTTTTAATACAGGATTCTCCTATGCTAATGCCTGCACGAAGATACTTAGTCTTGAGGTCACTCGGTGCTCCTGCAGTTCTTTTTACTTTGGCTATGCAAGGGGTTTTCCGGGGAATCAAGAACACAAGAACTCCTCTATTCGCTACAGGTGTGTTGCACAGGATAGGCATTTTGTTCCATATATGTCTGGTGGGAATATGTTTGTTCTTCGCTTGTCAGATTGTCGAAATTGTTCAAGCTTCGCATGAGTGAATTATTTGCTTGTTGCACTTGTTTTTCGCCTACCATGAACATGATCATATTATCAATTGCCTGGTGTATGTAATTTGCATCTGCTATCCGTTCACTTCCCCCGATTTCACTTGTTCAAATGCTTACTAGTTCATTGTTTTCATTTGTTATTTTTGTAGTTGTGGGAGATGCCACAAACATTGTCCTAGACCCCATATTCATATTTTTATTCCGATTGAATGTCAGTGGAGCTGCCATTGCACATGTTATTTCTCAGTAAGTTGTGTTACAGTGAATAAGCGCTATTGCTTTTCACTTATCTACTTATTTTCTAGTTGATTTCCTTAAAAAATGGTGAGTATGTATGGTTAACCACTCGAGCCTTTTAGGTACGTGATGTCCCTGCTCCTTCTGTGGAAATTAGTTCAACAAGTTGATATATTACCTCCAACAGTCGGCGATCTGCAACTCGGTCGCTTTCTCAAAAGTGGTAAGTTGTTCTCTTCATTTTTCGGTCCCTCTATATCGCTTCCTTCCCCTATTGCAACATTTAAAGATTTATATTAATCTTTTTTATTTTGGGTGTTTCTGTGAAGGATTCTTGTTGCTAATGAGAGTGATAGCTGCAACAATTGTTGTTACCCTGGCAGCTTCTTTAGCCACCAGGACTGGACCAACTGCAATGGCAGCATTTCAGGTTTGCTTGCAGATTTGGCTGGCAACCTCCTTGCTTGCTGATGGCCTCGCTGTGGCTGGACAGGTTAGATATACTTATGTTTCTAACAAATGAACCATCCCTATAATGTAAAGAATCAAGAAGCAAGATCAAGAATTTCAACTCCTCTTTGAATTGGCCTTGCAAATCTCTGCTTTAATTATGTCACATTCTGGCAATCCTGTGTCCTAATTCTAAACATGAGCCGTCTGAGTGATTCTTCTGGGTGCTTGTCTTGATTCAGGCAATCATTGCAAGTGCTTTTGCAAAGGAAGACCTTGACAGGGCAGTGGACACTTCTGCTCGTGTGCTACAAGTAATCTGTTCTGCGATATTTTTTGCACTAAACGTCCATACTTGCTCCCATTATGTTTGATTATTGGTATGGCTTTCTGCAGTATGCTGTGGTTCTAGGGGTAGCACTCGCCGTCATCCTCTATCCTGGGTTGTATTATGGTGGAATATTATTTACCAAAGATGAGGATGTCTTGAGACTTATTAGACTTGGTGTCCCGGTAATTTGTTGCTCTACACTTCAACCCATTTGCTTGGATTTCCTTCAGCACTTCTCCAAACTTTCTAAACTAACCTGAAGTTCATTTTCTTGTTTTCCCTTGGCTGTTAGTTTGTTGCAATATCTCAACCTGTCAACGTTTTAGCCTTCGTCTTCGATGGAGTAAACTTTGGAGCATCTGATTTTGCATTTTCTGCATACTCGATGGTACTTTTATACTCGATTATATGAGAAATGTAAAGCCATATAACTTAGGGTAGTCCCTGACAATAAGTTGTTACTCGCTTGTGGAAATTTCAGATCTTTGTGTCATTCATAAGTATATTTTGCCTCTCTATGCTGACTGTGGGCCAAGGATTTATCGGCATCTGGGTTGCTTTGACCTCGTTCATGACTATGCGTACGTTGGCTGGCTATATTAGGTAAGCACATTGAATAAAGCTCTTTCCTTTAAGCTAGACATTTTCTTCCTTCCCTTTTTTGCTCAAGACATATACATGCCTGTACCTTCACAGGATAGGAGCTGGCGTTGGACCTTGGAAGTTTCTGAGGACAAATGCATGAACATGAAGACCAAATTTCTCCAGTTTCATTACTAGTATTATCATGATCTGGGGTTAAAACACAGAGTAGCCTGATTGCAGCACGAACCGACTCAATGGAATTCGACTGCTGTACATATTGCAGAAGATGGGCAATATGTAGGGTACATGAAGTTACTGAGAACTCTTTTTGTTCTATTTGGAGCATTCATTGTTCAGTTTGGTCTCTATTCTTTTGGGATAGGGGAATATAGACTAGTATATACCTTAAATTCTTTGATTGTTTTCTTGCAAGTTTTGTGCTCTAAAGGAGAGGGAGAAAAGAGGGGGGATATGGTGAACTGTAATTGTAATGCTACTTAAACGTTTGCTTGACTAAGCAAACATTTGTACTTTCTTTGCTAACTAATTGAACCAAGTTCGTGAGTGGGTCATTATATTGAATTAGTTTAACTGATTCAAGCCCTCACAACTTTATATTATTTGGTTGACTCAAATGGGTGTCAAATCTAATAACCAACTTCTCCGATCATAATACCTTGGTGACATTTGACAGGATTTTTTACGGTACATATTGATATGAAGAATAGTAGAATAGTAAGTTTGTAAAAATAGCAAAATAAAGAGATATTTTATGGTATCAGCCAAGAGTCATCTACTCAATATAAAATTTTCTTGCAAAATGCAAACTCTTTCCTCTTAAAATTGTTTGGCATGTTCAAACAATTATGAAATCTTCATCAAGTTTTTCCTATTACAAAATATCTTAGCTTCTCGTCCCTCAAAATGGAGTTTATTACTTCTAGTATAAAGTATTTATTCAATCTTTCATCAATATGTGAAATAAAATGAGGGTGTTGTAATAGAAAAGAGGAAAGAAAAGTAAAGTGATGCAATGGATAAAAGAGAAGAAAAATGAAGCTAAAATCTATGATGTGATGGTGTTGTTAATAGTGTAAATTAAAACTTCGCCACAAAACTCCTTCCTAGTAAACAAGTATCAAAGGTCTCCTCTAAGTTGTGGGGATTAAGAAAGTGAGCAAAAGCTAATCCCTTTTCATCATTCTATTATCAGCACTAAATCCATCAAGGAAGAAGGAATCACTGAAGCCCATCTCAATCTGATCATTCCAGCTAATGATGAACCCAAGATCACCATAATCCGGCCCCGTTTCATGCCCTTCCACAACATGACCCGACGGCTGTTGTTGTTGTTGCTGCTGCTGCTGAAGATCAAGATCATGGCCGTAGTTAATCTCTGCTTCCAGAGATTGGATCAAACAGTTCAATCTCTGGCTGTCGTACACCTCTTCATCAAGATGGTGATCATCATCGACCTGTGCCGGTTCTTCCAGCAAGTACTTCTGAACTGAGCTGTAGTAATCCTCTGATTGATGATCATCAATTACCATCTGGGTCATTCTTCCTTCCTTTCTTTCCTTGTCTACCACCCTGGAAAAATGATGGCTTGTGAAATTTGAGGACGAAAAATGTTGAATCAGGACAATGACATCTGCCTTCTTCTTATAAGTTTATGAAACCACGACGCTCTAACCAACTGAGCTATGCGAAACTAGGCTGAAACCGCCAATCAGTTGGGTAGAACTTCCCCATGTGGAACAAAGTGGTATAACCAACCGAGCTCTGTAGTAAACTAGGCCGAAATGGCCAATCAATCGGGTGGGACTTCCCCAGGTGGAAGAAACTGGCTTCAGCCGTACAAACAAGGAACCAGCCGGATTAGTGGAATATTAGTTTGTAGTTGGCTGTGACTTGGACATTATTATGTCTCTTTTGCTTGCTTTCACTGTCATGATAAATTTGGCACTAGTGTTACTTTGTTGCCTTTTTGTTCCAAGATAACGATTTTAGGTTGGGAAAGTATGATTCTAGGTGGGCGGCATCCTGTTATTAGATTAAATATTTTGAGTTGAGTTGGAATGAGAAGAACAAGAAGAACTCTTAACAATTATGGTGGCATGGGGACCATGGGCACTGCCATATGAAGGTAGGAGAAAGTTTCTTGCTTGTTGGTAACCCAAAAACTCCTTGCTTACAAGAGAGTGTGGGGAACTAAAATTACTGGATTATTTTATATGTATTTGTTTTTATGCCGTCGATTAGATCGGATTGAGAACGATAATTTTATATGGTTATTGATTTCGTACGAATCTTCAATGTGATTAAGTTACGGATGATGTATAGAGAAAGTGTTTGTAAACATGTAAGGAAAATGGTTAAAAAGAGAGGTTAGACCAATGACCATTGTGTGAAGTGGCATAGGCGTTGAGGATCTACTTATACTCGTGTATAATTTCACACCTGAATGGTTATTTCTTGATTTCAACCTGTGATTAGTAACTTGATTATTTTTAGATAATAGTAGATCGAAACAATCCTTGAAAGGTCTACTAGGTGATCCCGCCCGCACTCTGTTGCGGGGAATTATGTGTTTTTCCAATTCTAAAATGAAATTCGGTTAAGAAGAAAATTAAAAATTGAGAAAATTTTATCTTGTACATCATAACGGTAAATCTGTAATTAGATTTAGTTTGTTTTTCAAGGGTTACCTTAGCTTGTTATATATAGCCTATAGGAATCACAATGGGATAGATTAGGGCGGGTATCTCGATGCCTATACTCGTCCCATGGCAGGTTGGTCCAGATTGAGTATTTTGTCTTGGAATATGGGTCGGGGCAGGTTGAAAGTTGATACAAATGGGTAAATACTTTGAAGGCAAAACACAAGAAATATTTATTTTCTTAATTAAAAATTAGGAAGCAAATTATGACACGATAATTGTAGTTAGATTTTTCACAAAATTGGGACTCTCGCGCTATTTACAACTTTATTTTAGCTAAAATATGATGTAAAGAAAAAAACACAAATAAGTAAAATTTCATATAATTTAAACAAAATGGCTCAAGAATCAGGTTGGTCAAATCGAACGAACAACCTATACCCGTTACCTATAAAACAATTTGATAAACCAAACATAGATACTATAAATTAAAATTCCCCCTTATATATTACCATACATATTTACCAAAAGAAAAGGCTCAAGGATAATACTACTAACCATGAGGCAAGCATTGAAGATGGTACACATTCATCAACAAATATATTGTTTTTTTACCTCCCTGCTTCTCTTGTCAATTTTATTTAACAGCTTGTTTGGCTATAATTCTGTTGGAAAATGAATTCCATTTCTTGTGAGAATCTGAATTCAAGTGGGAATTCATTTTAAAATTTTATGTTTGGAACAAATCCAAAAGTTTGGGAAATGATTTCATCTTTTTATGTTTGGAAAAAATGGAAATGATTTCTCACAAGTGCTTTTACAATAATATCCTTGGTATTAATGATTTCAAATCCTAAAGTGGTAAGGGCTTTCTTGTAAAGATGAGTCAAAATTAATGTGGGGTCCACTAATTCCATCACTTCCTCCACCAATTCCGACCACTTTTGATAGGATTTAGAATTTCCAACTTTTTACCTTTTGGAATTCCATTTCCTTTTTACTTTTTACTTCCAAACATGAGAATCATGGAAAGTTTGGGAATTGGAATTCCATTTCCTCAAAATTTAGTATTTCCAAACAGGCTGTAAGGGACTGCTCATTTTGTCTTCCTAACTTTGCTTCGACTATAGGTTGTACCCGTGAGTTAGTCATATTATTAGGGTCCGGATAACAACACTCATAGTGTTGTTAGAGTAACAACAGGGGTAAAAACAGAAACTCACAAAAAGTAATAAATTAAAAATTAAATTAAATGATTCATTACCCCACCCGTACCCTTCTCTCTCCCAGGTTTTCGTGCGCCTCCGAGCCAGCTGGCGGGGAGCGGTGTTCGTCGTGGTCGCCGTGCTCTCCGGCCTACTTCATCCGGAGTCGGAACAGAGGGAGGTCAACAACTGGCACGGCCACCGGCGATTCGCGGCGGGCTAAGTTCCTGATCTACAAGATGATGCAACGCGCCGACGATTCGCGGCGGAGCGCGCCAGACCAAGCTCTGCAAGTTGAAGGTGAGGATCGGGAAGAGGCTGAAAAAGCTGAGGAAGGGCGTGGTTTTGAGCATGTCGGCGACGAGGTTGAGGATTTACCGGATGATTAGGATTCAGTGGAAGCGGTTGTTCGGCCGCTCAATCGCCGACGGCGGCGGTGGTGTTCTTCTTGCTGCTGCTGTAGCTTCCATCTTCCCAAAACCCTGCTCCCGAGCACCTCCCACTCTCGATCCAAGTAGGCCACTCTCATTAACCTTGCTGTGGAGAATATTGTTGGGTACAAGATTCTTGCTATTGTCAACTTGATCAAGGAAGAAAGGTTCAAACTTTCTTATCTTCTCTCCTTTCTTGTCCATATTTCCCATGTGGGTTATTATTGTGAATCGGTTTTGTTTTTTGTTTGTTTGCAGGTATTTGACAGGGTTAGCGTTTATGACTGGAGTCAATCTGGTGTTGACAGCTTTTGTTGCTGTGTTGTGTGTGTTCCTTGCACCAACTGCAGCAGGACCTGGGATCCCTGAGATCAAAGCTTATCTTAATGGGATTGATACACCAAACATGTTTGATGCCACTATTTTGCTTGTTAAGGTAGGATTTTTCAGTAATCTGGCACTTCAGACCATTTGGTTGTTGGATTGAGGTTAGTGGGTTTCGGCCCAAATTCATTGGATGAGAGATCTAACAAAAATTCACTGTTTCTACCTTTTTAGATTTCGGGTTTTTAGTGCTGGTGTAAATGTATCACCATTTCATAATGGCAGACTGGCAGTGATTGAGTTGATGATGTTGATGAAGGAGATGGAAAACATGCGTTATGTTTCACTAATTTGTGGGGAAAATAAAATTAACTCAACGAGACTGCTTCTGTATCACTGAAAGAGAGACCGAGGCATTTTGATAAATCCAATAAAACATACTATAAAACACACCAAAAAACCTTGTAATGTAAACCATAAATCTCCTGAAACATATCAGAAACACCATAAAACACACCACAAATGTTTCTAAAGCACACCAGAAACCTCATAATCCAGACTACAAATCGCCTAAAACATACTAGAAACACCACAAAGCAAACCACAACTATTTCTAAAACACACCAAAAACCTCCTAATGCAAACCACAAATGCGATATAACTAACCACAAAAAAGCATACTAGAAACCTCCTAAAACAAACCACAAGTCTCCTAAAACAAACCAGAAATTTCACAAAGCAAACCATAAATATTTTGAAAAGCACACCAGAAACCCCCTAATGCAAACCATAAACACGGTAAAGCAAACCACAAAAAAACCAACCATAAACCTTCTAATGCAAACCACAAATATATTAAAATAAACCCAAAACCTCACAATGCAAACCACAAAATTTTTGAAAGCAAACCAGAAACGTCCTAATGCATACCAAAAATCTATTAAAACAAATCAGAAACCCCGCAAAGCAAACCACAAATTTTTTGAAAGCAAACCAGAAACTTCTCAATGCAAACCACAAACACGATAAAACAAACCAGAAACTTTTTAATGCAAACCACAAACACGATAAAGCAAACCACAAAAGGCATACAAAAATATGAGAAACCAAACCATAAATCTCACAATGCAGACCATAACATCCGGTGGTCGTTGGCCGTTGACCGGTCAACGAAGACCGTTGACCGGTCAACGAAGTTCGTTGACCAAACTCCGATGACCGTCAGTGACGGATTCCGGCACCGATAAGCATATTCCGGCCCCGGTGACTAGATTCCGATGCCGGTAAGCATATTCCGACGCCGGTAAGCATATTCCGGCGACGGTGAGCATATTCCGATGACAAAATAGCATATTCCGGTGACAAAAAGCATATTCCGGCGACCGGCGACCAGATTCCGGCGATCGGTGGCTGAATTCCGGCGACCAAAAATTTGGGCAGAAAATAAAAAAATTTATTTATTTATTTTTATTATTATTTAAACATATTTTACATAATGACAATTATACCCCTGCTTTAATTTTACACTAGGTCAACTCATCTAATAAAAAGTCATCACAACCCTAACTTCCTATTGGTTAGAGACTAGTGTTGTTACAATAACAACACAATGAGTGTTGTTACCGTAACTGGCCCCATATTATTAGGCAACAGTAACCTGCATTTAGGTTTATATATATTAATGTATAAGCTTAATTTTATGCTCAACCATTGACCATTTACTTCTAGTATGTAAGAACAAAATGCGCAATAGGTCCCCTAACATGCTTTACCAAACGCATAAACTAGATTTACACGTCATCTCCATTAAGTTTACCACAGTTCAAAAGCACCCACAAAATCTTTATATCATGGCATGATAATAACAGCATACCACCACAAGACCACTTAACAGTTTCATAATTGATAACTACTTTAAAGAAATTGCACACTCACCCTTCCTTCTCTTATTTGACATGCGCAGGAAAAGCACCCTATACAGTGGAGAGTCATGTAAGGCCTGTAATGCCCCTCCGAAATGCGCTTCCTTCGATCTCCAAATCGCGTCCATAATCTTCACACTTCATTATACAGTTAACATTACTGTTAAATGAATATGATTCATTCCCATGATCTCCTCCTCCTCCTCCTCCGCTTTCGTGTGATGTCACTTCGACATTCGAAGCAAATCAATCAAGGACTGCTCGACGACTGTGGGCCATACGTCCTTTTGCATCTAGCTCCATGGTTGTCACTCACTGGTGCACATCATTAAGACTCATTAACATACAATGGAAGTCTGATTTACAGCATTTCAAGCTTTGCCAGAGCACTCAAACATTCTAGATTACATGTACACATGAACTGTTCAAGACAGACTTACAATAACCATCAGATCAGATCAGATCAATCAAAGTGAAGCTAAATGGAGATTGATATGAATTTCCTGCAAACTACAACGTTCAAAAGACCTCCATGTTGGTTCATAGCCAAATCGACACTACAATCGAACATTAGTCCCGATTGTTCATCATCCATGTAATTCTATCTTCAACTCTGTGATCATTGCCACATACTATGTTGGGAATAGTCTGTAATGTCAAACCCAAATTTCTATCAGACCAAGTGCATGACGGCCCAACTAAAGCACTAGCCATGATACCAGATAGAACAGTTCGACTCCCAATTCTTCATATTCTCTGCTAATCCAGTCAAGCCTAGTTCAGTACAAAGATGCGCTTAATAGATGGAGGAAACAGGGAAGTGCCTGATGGAGAAAGGGGGGGAGTTTAGGGTTTTTGAGGGTCGAATCCAACTTCCTTGAGACAACGACGGAGAAGAAAAGGAGGAGAATTTTAGGGTTCAAGCTTTTACCTTTTTTCAGTTCTGGTGAGGCGAAAAAGATGGTGTTAAGTTACCCAATGCAATGCGAAGTGTCCTGCGATTGTTGTGCCAGCGGAAGCTGTACAGACAGATTGATATCAAATCGGGAATTGGATTCTAATCGGCGGGAGAGCGGTCGAGGCTCTGCACAACGAAGCGTTTGCTGGGTGAACTGAACGACACCATTGAAATGGAAAGAGGCCAGAGAAGAATCTCAGACGTGCCAACACTGAAAGTCTGAAACAGTAGTGAAACGAACTCCAGTGACGCAATTGAAGGAGACCAGTCATATACCAGACTCAGTGGCTCAATATTTTGGTGTTAATTTTTTTATCTTCAAAATGGTATTTGTGATGGTGGATGGGTATCTCAGTATTCATTTTTGTCTCGCTCGAAGTTATTACGGGTGCAAAAAGTTGTTACTTGAAATTATGAGCTTGAAAAATTATGTCTCAACTCGAATATTGAAGCATAGGATTCAAACCAACATTTGACTAACATCTACACTATCAGTTTATCACATTCATCAAAAAATTATCCAGGATAGCCGGCTTAAATTGTCTCCTTCATATGATTGGCTGGAACGACTATTTAAAAATTCTTCATTTTTCAACTTAATAGTCAATATTATAGTTGACAGTCACCTAAAATGAATTTAACGAACATGAACGACAAGTGACCATTGATGAAATAAATTGTAAAGTTAATGACGGGTAAGGAAGACAAAAAATTTGGATGACAAACATGACAATTGTTTTATAAATTGAGTGATCGAACCTATAATCTACCTTCTTTTACACGAATTATCATGATAAAAAAAATCAGGTGTTAAAAAAGAAAATTATAATCTAAAATGGAGTTAGATTGGATTTTTAATAAAGCAAATGTTGGATGGATCGAAGGGTCCGATTACCCCAAATCCCCAATATTCCTTGTCATCCAATAAGAGCCCAACACCTTATAGGTACATTACATCACAAAAAAAAGTAACTCACTACCAAGCCACCAGAATCTAGAAACTTATCAACAAACAAGTAACCGAAAGTGCCCATCCAACTTTCCCTTTAATTACCCACTAATCAAACTCGTTATTCGTGTAATATTGACTATCATGTCGACGGTAGAAAATTCTGCACAATTTCAATAACACACACAGTTTTCACTAGCATGATAGTAATAAGTAATAACCGTGGTTGATACATATTAACACGACCGAGTTGTCGATCCATGCTGATTGATATGTTATCATAAAATCGGCTCACACTTATGGTTACTTATATATGTTAGAAAATTCACAACAATGTCGACAACAAAGGTGATAGTGATATGCATCAACATAGTTCAACATCATTGGGTTATTTGACCACCCCACAGTAAGGAAGGTAAAACCAATACAGAGCATCGAACAACATTCGATAGATCCAGTGATATTAACACAGCATGATCAACAATTCGACCAAATTTGCTAACGGAAAAGGAAAGAAACGGAGTACAATTAGCTAGATATTGAAAATAATATAATGATCATTATAATAGCATGAAAAATTCGATGGTGACAAAAATATGAATAATAGAAGTTACATCTTTTCTAGAGCAAAGGGCCATTCGATAATTTTGTTATCTCCAGTCCCCTTTCTGTTTGCTCTGTTAACCTTCTTCTCTTTTCTGTCTTTTTCCCCACCCTCCTTCCCAGGGCTTTTTAACCATTGCTAATTCCTGCTGTAACAGTAAAAAAAAAAACTAAAAATAATAAAAGTAAGAAAAAAACGGGCTTACTGGGGTCAAAAGGAATCAAAAAGAATCCAAACCACCCGCAGCCCATTAATCCAACAGTCACCTCTCACTCTCACAATTTCATCAACTCCATGTTACGTTACACCTTCAAAAACTCTGGCTAGCTCATCTGTCAGTTCTGCTGAGCCACAAGCTGATCAATCTGGAGCTGCTCAATCCATGCTCCCATGGCGTTATCAATGGAATCAATCTGCGAGTTCACATTCATTGAACTAATCTCACCTGAAGAAGGAACACTACCACTACCTTGCTGCATTGGCATCATCTTCTCTTTCATATCAGATGGAGACTCCTTGACCAGCGACTGAACCCACGACAAGTCTGGCTCGTCCCCACTCTCGAGCTCGAACGAGTTCGACCTCCGAAGCTTCCCCAGCTCGTCGGCGCTCGCAGTCCAGTCCGGTCTCCCACTCGACGAGCCCCACCTCGACAAATGCACCGGTGAACCCCCACCACCGAGAAGGGAAGAAGGCATGCTCGACCCCAGCTCCCTCGAGCTCAGACTTCTCAGCTGCTGCTTCTCCCGCTGAGCCAGCAACGAAATCCTAGCGCTCATTGGCGAAATGGGCTCCACGACATTGCGTGGCGACGACATCTGCAACAGCGCCGCAGGGTGATCAACCACGCTCCTTGGGGAGAAGTTAGTGTTGATGGGAGACAACATGCTTTGCTGCTGCTGGAACTGATGATTCAGAACCGATGACTTGTGGGTCGGGGAGAAGACCATTCCTTGATCGCCATACCTAGGAGAGTACGACGAGGTCTCGGCAGAGAAGAGGTCGTCAAGGTTCGACGGCGTCAGGATCTTCATACGACCCGAGCGGTTCAGTGAGTTGTTATTGTTGTTGTTATTGAGAGCAGATAGCTCGTTGAAGATCTGCATGTCGAAATCCGGCAGCATGCCATTGTAGTCCCCTCCATTGGGGATGTCCCTCGCGTGAAGGGAAGATCTCAACCGACTCGACTGGAGATTACTACTTCCTGCTGGCAGATGCAATGCAGGAACACCATTCCCTTGTTGCTGTTGTGGTCCCCAAGCATTCGACATCCCGTTATTACCAGAGGGAGACATAGGTGGAGTGAACGGCGACGAAGGCGAGCCAGGTGGCAGCATGCTCATCGCAGCAGCAAAATCCATCCCTGAAGTGGCGCTGGAGCGAGGTGAAGGGACAGCTGAGCCAGTTGAGACATACAAAGGACGAAGTTCTTCCACGGTATGAGCAAAGAAGCAGACTCTCCTGGCACAACTGGTGCCATCTTTGCACAGCCTGGTGCGATACTGTGCAGGGTGAAGCCAGCATTCAAACACACCATGGGCATACTCACACATATCTCCACGTCTGCATGCACCTTTCCTGAAATCGGGACAAGGGACACAGCTGTAGTGATACTTCCTAGGGTCCCTCCTACGAGCATTCTCACCCGGGTGTACAAAAGGGCACTCCGTCCAATCGTGAGAGTAGGCACGAGAGCATGGTCGGACCTTGAACGAATACATCCTGAATTCGTCGGTTGAATACACACTGTTCTTGATGTCCGGTAATGATGGATCGATAGGGTATTCCTTCTTCTCGAATAGAGCAGGCGGCTGGTCCAGCCTTCCATACTTCATGGGAGAATCAGCACCATTATTCTCCATGGACGGGGAGAGAGGTGGAGAGTTGTTATTGTGATTGCTGTTGGCAATGAAAACCCTCAGATTACTCCGCTCAATCACAGAACCTTGATTGGGGGAAAGCAACTGTTCAAGGGTCAGCTTCATCTCTCGCAGCCTTGGCGGGACAACGATGGTATCAACCGGACACAGACCGTTGCCATCTACAACGTTAGGATCAGCACCAGCTGATAACAAGAGCTTGACAGCATCAACAGCATTCGCTGCGGCACCGGAAGCAGCACAGTGAAGCGCGGTGGTGTTGTCGACGCCACAGGCTTGGTTGATGTCGGCCTGAGAGAAGGCGAGAATCAGCTTCATCACACCAACACTGCCGTAAGTTGCTGCAACCATCAGAGGTGTTCTCTGCTCGTTGACCATCTGTTTGGACCCCTTCCGACGACAGTACCATAGTCCGATCTCGTCCACACAACAAGGGTCTCGCTCGATCGAGAGCTTGAAGCTCTCGACGTCATCGTTGGCTGCTAGCTCGAGCAAGCTGGCTAGAGCATCTTCAGTCGAAATCGTCAGCTGATGGTGATGATTATTCATGGTGGTGGCTCTACTGCTTCCCTCAAGAATAACCGAAGATGGTGATTGAGCTGGTGATGATGACAAAGATGGCGATGGCGGCGATGGAGACTCCTCGGGCTTTAGCCCCCCAATAGATAAAAAGGAGCTCAATTTATCAGCACCATCACAGAAACCTAATATGGGTTTCATCAGAATAAAGTTTTCATTTCTACTGGATGATTGAAGAACACAATCAAACAAATTAACAAAAGGACACCAGAGGGAATTGGGTTAAACAAAAGCACTCGACTTCCTTCCTCTTATATAATCAATTAAACCAATACAAACAACGGTCAAAACAAAGGGATTGGGAAGACGATTATTTCCATGTTCTTTAAGTCTCAACTTTCCCCCCCTCTTTCCCTCGGTTTTCTCGGTAGCCAAACAGACTGGACCATAGTAAAACAAGCACAAAAGCAACCCAATCAATTGACCGAAAGCAAAATAGGCACAACAGATCAACGGCAAGAGAAAGATCTAATCAGCCTTCATCGGTAAGTGAAGCAAAGAGTCGTCGTTGGGGCGGGCGATCATCGGAGCGACATGTACAGAACCCCCAACAAACAAAAAGCAAAGCAAGAACGCGACTTCATTTCTGTGTGTGTATCTTTCTCCACTTTAATGGGGGGGTTTTCATTTTTGGGGCTGTAAAGAAGTAGAAAGGGAGGAGAAGAGGTTGTTGGTTTACCTGGAAATGGGTTAGTAGTTGGAGTAACAAACCGGCCGCCGCCTCCTCGTCTCTCGGCGCTCTCTCTTCCTCTCTGCAGTCACAGATCTAGACAAAGTGATGACTCAGAGAGAGTCAGCTGGGCTTCTCCCTCCCCGGAAAATCGGTGAGAGGCAATTTTTGTTTCTCGGGAAAATAGTGAGAGAAAAACTTTTTGGTAAGAACTGAGAGAGAGAGAGAGAGAGAGTGATGGAGAAGGGAAGGCGAAGGAAGGAGGGAAGGAATGAATGAATAATGGTAGAAAATTAAAGGAGATATTAGGGTGAAAAAATAAATAATAATGAAAAGGAGGAGAAGAGAGAAAGGCTTTCTTCTCTCTTTTCTTTGTTGCGTTGCTTTATTTTGCATGGAAAATTAATTAAAAAATAAGACAAGGCACAAGGGGGAAAAAAGGCCGACGATAAATAATTCGGAACTAGGAAAAAAATTAAATTCAGCTTTCTCATTCACTAAGTTGGGTTTATTATAAAAAAAAAGTTGGGGGTTTAGATAAAATCGCCTCTGCTTCTTCTGCTGCCTGCCAGCCGGCCCCTTCTCTCCGTAAATGTGATGGAAAATAATAAAAAGGAAATTCCTTGGACGATTCAAATTCCACCCTAATTAACCGTCTTTGTTTTCCAAAAAAAATTCGAGAAAAATACCCGAACCGTGGGTATTTGTTCAAATCCAATCGGTAGGTTAAATCCGAATTTGAATGATTTTCAGTAGGTATGGGTAAAATCCGAACCTGGATAATGTGGGTAATGGGTGGGCATGGTTTTCGCACTATCCAACCCGAGTCCGACCGATTATACACATGCATCTATATTTTTTTTTCTAAAAATGATTATTATTTTTCTCAAAATATTTTATATTTAACATACAAATATAATATTTTCATAACATTTGTTGTATTTAATTAATTTTCTTCATTCTAGTTATCTATTGTCGTACTTTTGCACTTATGTAATGTGAGTATATACCTGTGAATGTTAACATGTTGGTTGGAGTTGTAAAGAAAAACTATTATCTATGGATAACCGTGGATACTCGAACCTCAAATGGGTATGGGTATGGGTATGTGCATGGTTTTAATTTTCTACGTGATTCTTATGTGGGTATGGATATGGGTATGGTAAAACTCGAACTCCTTTGGATTGGGGGCGGATTGTGCAGAATATTATGTACCTACGAGCGAGATTTGTACATAACGGAGTTAAGATTGGTGTATATACGGTGAAGACTGGATACCATTTAGCACTAGTGTATGTTTTGATCACAAATTGCAGGTCTCTAGTGCATATTATTAACCCTCCTATCTGGAAAAGGATATAGGACTTTCAAGTTCTTCAAAAGCTCAAGTTTTTATCTTGCAATGTCTGAAGGTGGTCTGGCCCATAATAGTTGTCCTAAGTGAGCTGTCATATCTAGGGATGGAAATCGGCACGGTATCGGTATTCCAATACCAAATACCGAAATTCTGAATACCAAATTACACCTCAATATCAATCTCAATCCCAATTCATAAATTTTGGTATCCCAATCCCTAAATATTTTGATATCCCAATCGATACTTCGGTATCCCAATCGGTATTATCGAATACAAAATTAATTACCTTTGCAATTAATAATTAAATATAAATTAGATTGTATTATTTAATTTCGGGCAAAAAGACTAAGTAAAGAGCCCTGAGTTTGCCTAGAGCTAGGATATGGATAAAGAAAATGGAGGAGATGTGACATCTCAGGTTCTTGTCATTGGTAATCTTTAATTTGACAAATTGGAGATTGAGAGACGACTAATACTATTGTTTGCTTTTGGTGTTATGAAAATAATAACAAGAGATTAGGTGAGAGACGAGAGTGACTTAAATTGGAAAGTCAAATTTGAGTCGGATGGGGACTTATAAGTTGTGAAATAGTGATGAAATGATCTATGTATAGTTAAATGACATTCTTGGTGGTTGAGGGTCGTGTAGCAGTGAATGAGAGAGTCTTGTTGAGATAATTAAATACACATTAGCTTATATTTCAGTATTGATCGGTATATAATACCGATCCCAATCCCGTAATCCCTAATACCGAATAACAATTGACATTCAATCCCAATCCCAAGAAATAATACATATATTCGGTAATACCAAATATAAACAAATTTGGTACGGTATTCGATATATCTCTAATACCGGTACCAAAGTTCCAGCCCTACTCATATCTAATGTCATGTGTGTAGGATGTACTGAGAGAGTATTGAACATTTGTTCTTCAGATGTCTTCTGACCATCCAGTTATGGTCTCTTGTGGGATGACCCAAATGTTAATTTTAGTTTATGGTTGTTTTACGGCATGCTCTCTGAGCACTCTCTAGCCCCAATTCTCCCCTGTGTATGTCTATTATGGAGAACTAGCTTATTACCCGGCCCGTTGGCCGGATTACTGTATGTTACCCACTTGTGGAATGGGAGAGAAAGCAAGTGAGAGTGAAGGGATTGGGATTCCACTTGATTAGGACCGACCCATTAATCCAATTCTTCCCGACCCGCCCCAACCTATAGGGTCAGAAAGAGTCAATAAGAAAATACGAACGGGGAGGATTAGTCATATATCTTGACTCTTCAGAAGTGGGTCAAACAGGATCAAGGTTGGGTGAGGGCAATTTTTAGCGCTAATCAGAGTTCTGGGTTGAATACCTTTACTTAGGCCTAGAAATTGGTGCTGATGCAGATTGCAGTTTTTATTATACCATCATCAATCATCATTGAATTAGTCCTGGGCATCCCTCCCCGTTGTCGGTCTGAATTCTAATGATGGCTTCATTCATTGCACCAGCCATATCAGCGAGTTGCCATCTCGAGCATGACATGCCTATGTACAAATAATACAATTAGAGTATGAAAATGAATTCAATGAAAAGGAAAAGAGAATTCTATCACATGCCAATAAATACACACATAATAGTTGAAGCTAAGTGAAAGTCATTACTCGCACATCAATTCTCAAAAATTACAGACTAAACATTGGCTAGAATGGCACTGAAACTACCAAGAATCATGGACGAAACAACTTGTCAAATTAAATTATCCTTATACTGAAACTACCTTCTAACTTGAAATAAGACATGATCACAGTTCATAGCTCTCTTCTCACTATGAATTGGTTGCAGCTCGTCCTTATCACTGCCTCTCAAGCTCAATTCAAACAGAATAGAGACCGTTATGTAAGATAACCATATTCTTACTGATCATAATTCCTTTCTTCACTCCATTTTTGTCGGAGAAAAGAGTTATCCCCCTCTCCTGCATTTCCCTTCCCCCCTCTCTTCTCCCTCTTCTTCACAAACCTATCCCTAAACCAGCAACAACAACACAAAAATAGCCTTCGCCTCAGACAGGACTGCAGAAGCAAAATTTTCTAAAATCAAACTAAATTTTTTGAAGCAGACTCAACCACGAAAAAAGAGTAAAGCAACAATGCAGTAGAACCCTAAATTTAACTACAATCAATCACATATCAGCAAGATTTTCGATTTGTCTGAGAGTTAACTACACGGAGAGAACAATTGATGCATAATTGAAATGCTCCAAGCAAGTTGAAGGCAAACCATAACTTTAGAATTTGGTCATTATAATAACCTTCAAGTATTGATGCTTCTAAGAACTATCATGTCCAACCCCCACTTATACAACTACGTAGCCATAGTAATTAGTTGTATAATGAGAAATATTACAAAGAAAACTACATAAACAACCAATGTAAGTAAATATTAAAACTAACAACTAATAAAACTTAAAATCTCTCTATTGGTATAAATGTATCTATTAGTAACTACTATGCAATCGAGTATATATGATTTTTAGGCACTGAATAAGAAAAGTATAGATGGCTCACAAATGAAGACATAGCAACTGAAGGTAGCACACAAAAACCAAAAATAGAAAAAGAGATAAGAAAAAAGGCGAGAAAAAGTCAAACAAAGAAAAAGCCCACATAGGAATACCTCGCTAGCGTTAGGGACTCTCTGCCACAACAAACTTCTTAAAAATCTAACACCCTGAGACATCAAACAAACCTCCCACGACACTAATGTATGGCATTCCTATTGTCCATTAGGTTTGCCCAATTTAGACTTCTAAATAAATGGACTTTTCACCATTAAACCAAAACTCACAATCATTAACAGTTAATGCAAAGACATACATTTCTGAGGCCAATCACAGCATTTAAGCATAATTTTTAGTTGAAAAGAACAACTAAGTATTTAGCTAAATGATATAGTAGAATGGACACAATCTGCTACCTACTAATGATATAAACGTGTACCAGTACCATCATTGTATCCTGACTTGCCATTTGCAACGGGCACTTTGAAAGACAGCTGCATTTTAGAGAATAAACACCCATAAGGGCGTTACGAAACCAAGCTTAATCCAAAATATTCATATTCCACTTCGAAGACTCCATTTTCAAAAATAAGAGAGTTTAACATGTCAAATCACTCATTTGAAAAATTTCAAACAACTATTAATCAATGCAATATAAAGGCACGTTCCAAATTATGTACTTGTAGGAATAATCCCAAATAATTATCAATTAATGCCCCAACTACCTAATGTGCAGAATAGCCCTGGAGCTGTGCTGTTGTTTGCGTTGGTCTACCTTCAAACATAACATAGTTGCATCACGAACCAAAGCAATTAAGCAAAAATCTTCATATTCCAAGTAGAATGACTCAATTCAATTTGGCCAACGCTTTATACATATTGTTTACCCCTGGACCTGTTGCACTTGCGCCTTCAGATCTTCGTGAACACAATACAATTGCGGAGAGGAGGCTGTCAACGGAATAAAAATTGTTAATTAAATGAATCACCATACAACTAAACAAACGCGCTCTTCTTGATTAGCTATCAAAATAGTGGGGGTCGCTACAATCCATTGGTTGCTCCCTCTGCGCCTAAGTTGTAGATATTAGATTTCAGTGAGAACTTTGAGTACATGAGGAGATATTTTGTAGTGGAGGAGATGACCCGGCGAGTAGAATAGGAAGATTTGGAGAGGCTGCGATGGGCAAAGCAGTTAAAATCGAAAACTGGGGTAAAATCAAAATCGTATAATCGAATCGTAAAATCGTAGGATTTTAAGTACCATATAGAACATAGCATATAAGGATATTAATAAGGTAAATTATTAATATCACAAAGACAAATAGCATTTAAAATGATAATTCAGAAGATTTTTTTTCCATAAGATAATTCTCAAGATTAATGTTCCAAAATCACTATTTTAATTGTTATTTAATGTGTAACTCAAAATAATTCATGATGAAGGGATATAGTTCATGGGTTTGGCTCTTATTTTCATGTTATGTCTAGGTTGTTTAACTCAAAGTAATATTTCGACATCGTCTACTAAGTATGATTTAAAACTAAAAATAATTGAACTCCAATAAAATAAGTAATGTTAGTGGCTTGGTACAAATATATTCATTAATAAATTAAGGCAAAATACCCTTGCATAGCCAAAACTTTCACCTTTGTGCCACTTATAGCCACATTTGGCGAAATACCACTAATAGCCACTTCCGTCCGATTCTTTAACGCTGTTACCGTTAAGTCTGACTGGACAAACGGAAATGGTGATGTGGCGAGCTCTTATTTCCAATATCCTCTGTAATTATCTACGTGGATAATGATTAATTAAAAAAAAACAATAATGGACATCAGAAATTAATTAGTGAAAATAAAAAATAAAATTAATTAAATGATTTGTCCTTCCTCACCTCACTTCCCCTTTCTCTCGTTGGCAACAAAAGGAAAGAAAAAAAATTTCCACAAAAATTTTCATCATCTTTCTTCTGGAACTCATCTTCCCCAAAAATATCACAGCCTTCTCCAAAGCAGCTCCTCTTCTCCCTCAAAATCCCTATCTGCCGTCGCATCACTCCGGGAGCCGGAGCAGGGCCAAACTCGGATTCCTCTTTCCCGAAAACCCTCTCCACCTTTGGCAACTCCCAAACCATCTCCTCATGTGGCCGCCTCCGAAACCCTCTCCGCCTCTGCAACTCCCAAACCCTCTGCTTATCTTGCAGATCCCTCTTTCTCCCAAACCCTCCCCGCCTCTGGAAACTCCCAAACCCACTCATCATCATGGTCGTTGAGTGGGTCACGCTTTACCCGGTCGATGGTAACCGATTTCCCTTCAATCTCTCGCTACTCTTGTCTAGATTCTTCTAGGTTCGGATTTTAATTAGATTGGCGTTCCGGACAGACTCTGCTTTTCTCATCGACGTTTTAGGTGTAAAGAGTTTGGAGTCGAGTTCCTCCAGAGTGTGAGACGAGAAGTGGCCGGCTTCTTCTCTACGACGTCGGGAGCTTAGGGTTTAGGGGTGGAGGATTGACGGCGGCGGAGATGGGTTGGGTTGATAGAAACAAGGGATTTTGAAGAAGCCAATTGATCGGAGTGGGTTTCGGAAGGGACAGAAGATTCATTTGAAGAAGCCTCATTTGAAGAAGCCAATTGAAGAAGCCTCACTGCAGAACAATGAAGCTCCTCACCGCCGTGGCGCCGATTATGGATCTGGCCGGCGCTCTCTCCCTCTCTTTAGATCTCGGAATATCAAAATCAAGCAATAGCGGAACCACGTTCTTATCGCTCCGCCGCTCGACGAGCTCCTCCACCTCCCTCACTGTACGCGAAACACCCAGGACCCGATTCCTCTCTTCTAGGTACTGCTCCTGATCCACAACATTTGATTCCGCCGGAGCAGCGGTGCCGGTCCATTCCCTGTCGAGCCGGCGCGGCCGGAATGGTGAGAAGGGAAATTAGAAGTCCAGCAGTAGTAGTAATATCCTCCATCCAATTTGAAGCTCTCCTCTCTCAATCCCTCAAGAACAAGCTCCCTGCCTCAAGAACAAAATTGGCGGAGAATTGGAGAAATCGAAGATATGGGATGGGATGGGACTGGAGAAGGGAGGGCGTAATTTTTTTCTTGTTTATTTTGCATAAATAATAAATAATTTAAATATCTGACGTGTCACTATTGGCTTAGTTGTCGCTGACGTGTCCGCTGAATTGGCGTCTCGTCAGCCGACCGTCAGATAAGTTGATGGTGTTATTAACACCGTTATAGTTTCTAACGGAAATGGCTATATTTGGCACGCAAGATCTTTCAAAAGTGGCTATTAGTGGTATTTCGCCAAAAGTGGCTATAAGTGGCACAAAGGTGATAGTTTTGGCTATGCAAGTGTATTTTGCCTTTTGATATAGACAACAACAACATGAGCCGATACCAAGGACGTGAGCTAATTTACGAGGAACAATAAAGTTCAAGGATCTTGATGGTAAAAACTAGAAATTTTGAGGACAAAAGTAAGTTCAATATTTTTATTATTTATTAAATTCAGTGAAGAAGGAGAATAAGAAGAAAAAAAAGCTAGGAATAGCTTCCCCTTTCTTCTTCCTCCACAACAATCGGCGCGTTGAATTTGATAACGGAATCCTGCCTTAACCCATCCATCCCTATTTTCTAACTGTCAACAATACTTCTTCTGTTCCCTTCCCTTCCCTTCCCTTTCTTCTTCTTCTTCTCCCTTCCCCTTCTATTATTAGCCTCCTGAAATCTGCAATCAAAACGCATCTCGGTTCTGGATTTCAGAAGAAGGCCAGGAATTCATTGCTGGGGAGGAGAAGGGGGTAAAAGAGCTGAAGAGGCCCCAAAAAAAAAACCCCACCGGGTTTTGATTTTCGCTTCGCCGGTGTGCAGTGGCGTGCGCTCTGGCGAACAGAAAACCAAAATTTCATCGCTAATAATATAAACTACGTCCTTCAGCAGATTTCAGGTAATCGTTCATTCATTGATTGCATTGTTATGACATCGCTCGCCGATTCCTTTAATCATTGTTTGCTTTTGTTGTGAACCCTAAAAACAAATACCCAATTGCGGTTACTGATCGAACTCTTTCTCTGGTGGTTTTAGTGTCCAAAAGGAAACGTAACTGATAATGGATGGGTGGGTCTTGTTGATTGGAAATCTAACGACGAGCAGAATCGCCAACCACAAAGGTCGGTGATCTCTTCCTCGAGATTGTGGGTGCAGTAACAAATGGTGTTTTATGTTTGCTGAATTGTGTGATTGATTTCTCTTTTTTTTCCTCCCTATATCAGGGGAAGGAGGTTTCGATTAATTGGGAAGCTGTTTTCTTTCCCCTTTACACAAACAAGGGTTGGCGTCAGTTCTGCAAAAAACCCATCCCAACTCCCTAGTAATTTTGTGATTTGGAAGGATTGTGAATAACTTCTGACAAAGAAAGAAATTCTTGCAATTGGTTTTTGTTTTTGCGATTATTGCTTTGTTTTTGTTGAATCTTTATACATATCAAAGAATAATAATGGAGTCGAGTAATGGGTTTGTATCAAAAGAACAACTGGAGCTTGCGAGATCTGCTCTGGAAAGTGAAGATCCTTCATCTGTTTCTCCATTGCAAATCTCCCTAGGTTCATCCTCCTCTCCCAAGTCTCCTTCCTCTCCTGTAACCACACAACAGCAACAAGAACGCAAATCAGATGACAAACTCTCGCCTCCTTATATGGGTGGACAGCCTAAGAAAGGTAAAATATACCAAGCTGCTTATTATTTATGAATAGAATTACTAACTGCGCCCAGAATTTTGACTGTCTAGAACGTCATAGGTTTTCAATTGTAAATGGTTTGATCAGTCTGGAAATCCAATCTGCATTGATCAATAAATGAATCATACTTAGGTTTCTGGGTCTTTTTTTCTCTTATTTTGCCCACTTTCCCAGGTGCTTCTGTAGGGAAAGGAACATGTGGGGGGTTACATGATCCTGCAGAGGGTGCATTGTACAATAATGATCCAAACTATGATAGCACAGAGGTACTACCAACTTAAAGAATCATTACTAGTAACAGAAGAAGTGAAAAGGGAGGCAAATGAAATCATCATGATAGCATTGAATGCTTTGTATTTCAGGAACAGGATGGTGATCCAACAATAAAAGACACTCCGAGAAAATTAGATGCCTACAAAAGGAAAGCTACAGTTATTGTGGAAGAATACTTTGCAACTAGCGATGTTGTATCAACAGCAAACGAACTGAGGGAACTCAAGTTGCCCGGCTATAGTTATTACTTTGTCAAGAAACTAGTGTCCATGGCAATGGACCGACATGACAAAGAAAAGGAAATGGCTGCTGTGCTTTTATCCGCTCTCTATTCAGAGGTCATCGACCCTTCCCAAGTCTATAAAGGTTTCAGCAAATTGGTGGAATCTGCAGATGACTTGATTGTAGACATACCTGACACAGTTGATGTTCTTGCCTTGTTCATAGCCAGAGCCGTGGTTGATGACATACTCCCGCCTGCATTCTTGAAAAAGCAACTCGCTTCTTTACCTGCAGATTCTAAGGGGGTAGATGTGTTGAGGAGAGCCGAAAAGGGTTATTTAGCAGCTCCACTCCACTCTGAAATTATTGAGCGGAGATGGGTAAGCAGCATGAATAAAACAGTTGATGATGTGAAGGTGAAAATAAACAACTTGTTGGTAGAGTTTATAGCAAGTGGTGATAAGAAGGAGGCTTGCAGGTGCATCAAGGAACTGAAAGTTCCCTTCTTTCACCATGAGATAGTCAAACGAGCCCTTGTTATGGCTATGGAGAGACGGGCAGTCGAAAGCCAGTTGCTAGAGTTGCTCAAGAAAACAACTGAAGAAGGTCTGATCAATTCCAGTCAGGTTACAAAGGGGTTTGGCAGGATAATAGATGTTGTTGATGATTTGTCGCTTGATATTCCAGATGCAAGAGGGATTCTGAAATCCTTGATATCAAAAGCCGCATCAGAAGGATGGTTGTCTGTTTCTTCTTTGAAATCACTCTCACCACCGTCTCCAAAAGAATCTGTGGAAGATACTGCTGCAAAGCTGTTCAAGATGAAGGCACAATCCATCATTCAAGAGTATTTCTTGTCAGGTGATATAGCAGAGGTGAGTGATTGCATTGAATCCGAGAACAGTTCTTGCTCACCTGACCTAAATGCTATGTTCATCAAAAGGCTAGTGACTCTAGCAATGGACAGAAAGAATCGGGAGAAAGAAATGGCTTCTGTGTTACTATCTTCTTTATGTTTCCCTACAGATGATGTTGTGCATGGACTTATTATGCTAATAGAATCTGCAGACGATACCGTTTTAGATAATCCGATTGTTGTTGAGGATCTTGGAATGTTTTTAGCTAGAGCTGTGGTGGATGAAGTCATAGCCCCACAACAGCTGGAGGAAATTGAGAGTCAATTCCTTGGGACAGAGTCAACAGGGAACAAAGTTCTCCAAATGGCTAAATCCTTGCTGAAGGCTAGGCTTGCTGGAGAGAGGATCTTGAGGTGCTGGGGTGGTGGAGGTAGCAGCAGCAAGAATGGATGGGCAGTTGAGGATGTGAAGGACAAGATTGGCAAGTTGCTGGAAGAGTTTGAATCCGGTGGGGACATTAGGGAAGCTTGTCGTTGCATAAAAGAACTCGGGATGCCGTTTTTCCACCATGAAGTGGTGAAGAAAGCACTGGTGAAAATCATGGAGAGCAAGAGTGAGAAGCTGTGGGGCTTGCTCAACGAGGGGTTTCGATCGGGGCTCATAACGTCGTACCAAATGACGAAAGGTTTTGGGAGAGTTGCAGAGTCCATGGAGGATTTGAGATTGGATGTCCCTGATGCTGAGAAACAATTCGGCTACTATATCGAGAAAGCTAAACTTACTGGATGGCTAGATTCGTCATTTGGAATTGGTCCTACTACCAAATCAAGTTATGTTAAGGAGAATGGCACAAACATATGATAACAGGTAACAGCTTTCATAGATTTTGCGAATTTTGCAATTCAGTTAATAGGTTGAATGACATAGGTGTCAACAGAGCTGGCACAATCGATCTTCGTCAATCTTATTGCGCAATTGGATGGTGTCAAGCTGTGCTGGCATCTATCTGTCAACATGCTAGCGAAAATCAATTGATTGTTTCTGATTTTCATTCTGCAGGTTTTTTTGTTTCGCAGTTGGGTTTCGTCAATGAAGTTTCATAATCCATCAAATTATTACGAAGAGAACTAGCTGGATTTTGTTGCTTGGTTTTCCTTTCAGAGTTTTTTTTGGTCTCCTGTGACACCATATAGGATTTAGCATACCTACTTAAAGAAAAAGAGAGTACTTTTATGGACGAGAACATTACAAGATGGAACTAGAACCATCTTTATATTGCTAAAATTTATACAATAGACTGAGATTATAGGTACTTAGTTTTCCATTTCTTTTAGTTCAAATTTTTTTGGGGGTCAGTCATATATTTGTTTGGAATAACCTCACCGTTGGGTGAGAGTTGTAGTATGTTAAATCTCTTTGAGATGCCCAACTCTCTTATCTTGTACTGTTATGCAATGTAATGATAATGCCATACTTCACCTTATATACCTTGCGTAACAAGGTAACGCTTATCCATGCCAGGACATCTAAATAGCTTCTCAATGTGTAAGTGTGAGCCTTACCGATAGAGGTGATATGTGTCGAATTGCTAGGTTGATGATTACGTCTGCTGGGTTCAATCAGGTTCATGGATTGTTGGAGATTAGGTGATATTCTCTTGAAATTTCGCTATGGTTTGGAAGTTATTTAGGTTGCTAAATTATAAAACAACAGGGTTTGTTTAGTTAATGACGAAAACATTACCGTAATGTAACCGTTTGAATCAGCTCAAGTATTGGGTTGGGTTGCTATTTGTTGTTGGAGAAGAAGAAACAAGGAAGAAAACAGTGACCCTTATATTCAGTCCTCACCAATATTCACCACACGAGCAATTAATGAAATCGGTGGTTATGATACCGAATCGTCTGCTGCTTATAGCATTGAAAATGTATTATTACAAAATCATAGCATTAGATAGATCTTCAAATGTCAAATTTTATGCTTTGAAATAAAAATAGATATACCACTGTTGATGCCCGCTCGATCCTCCAACTCCCCTTCCGTACAAGCCCTCTTCTTCGTGGATAAGCCTGCACTCACAGAGGTGAGCCTTGTGGCTCGTTAGTCCTCCAACGCTCAAGTTAGTGCTTTTCTTAGTGAGAGAAGTGCTTGTTATGCAATATTTTAGTGAGAGAAGCCAAATTGAGTAAATGCTTACCAACCTCGCTATTTATAGCTGTTCATTGCTTACCTGAGTCTCTTCGTACGGATTTCCACGTCACCACCGCAATTAATGCGAGTGATTCCGGGCGCCCTCTTTGGGCGCTCGCAATCTCCAGGCGCCTAATACATGTTTACCCTCGCCCCCACCTTACCATGCGCTCGGGTTAGCTTGCTTTCTTGGCTCAAGTCGATAGGCGTCGGCCATAGCCTACACCGTTTTTCCCAAACACACCTCTGGGCCTCTAATAAGTCACGCCTTCTTGGGCTGCTTAGGCTCCATCCCTCTTATTGGGCTTCTCCTACGCACCGAGGCCCATTCATCCGAACACCCCCAACAATTGCCCCCCCCAGTTAGGTGCTCAAGCCTCACGCCTTGAGCGCCTAACTAAACGTTTGTTTCTTTCGCTTATCTCGAATTCACCTCCCTTTCCTCAATCATTCTTATAAGGGCGCCTGCATTTTGCCCCCCATTCTCCTGTCAATGGACAAAATCAACGCCTTGGCACGCCTCGATAACCCGCCCTTACTACCCACGGACCTTACTGTATTAGCGATTTACATCGGGCGCCTCACCCTTTACGAATTTTCCTCCAAGGCAAAGGCGCCGCCCTTTTCCTTTGTGTGGCGAACCTTTCGGCCGCCCTCATTATTAAAGGCGTCTCGCATCGCCCGTCCCTTCAGTGATCTATCACCAACACCTTCCTCCCTCACCCACAACCTCGCTCTTGAAGACTCCTCGCCTCCCCCGGATGCCTCGCGCCCTAGCCACCTTCGGAACTCTCCAAGGCAAAGGCGCCTCCAAACGCTTCTCATCGCGTCAACTGGCTTCGCGGCGCCTGACATTCCCCTCCCCTCCATCAAGGGCGCCTCCCGCCGTTCTCGCGCGGCGGGTTTTTCGACCGCCCCTATTACTAAAGGCGCCTGTTCTTGCTCGCCTCAGGAAGCCTCACGCCCAAGCCGCCATCGTTACTCAGGCTCTTCTCCCCGCGTTGCCCTATTCCAAGGCATCTCGTGCTCCCCTTTGTTGTCGAAGGCGCCTCGCGTTCTTCCCCCCTTCCAAGGCGTCTCGTGCTCCCATCTTTGTTATCGAAGGCGCCTCGCGTTCTTCCCCCTGCTGCCCCCCTCACAACCGCCGGTGTTGGATCCCAAACCGTGCGGTTGTGAATTGGCCACGTGGCAGGCGACACGATTTTCGAGGCGCTCCCTCTTTCTTTAAATGTAGGTTGGTTCTCTGCATTGCTTTTCATTCGCCCCCAATTGCCTTCTCACTCTAGTTTCTCTCTCTGCCGTGTCTCTCCTCTGCTCCAGCGTACTATTTCTCCCGGCGCGATGTCTCTCCCAGCCAACTCTGCCTCCGCCGCCGCGGGCTCTTCTCAGGACCAAGGCGGCCCTTCGAAAATCGGTAAGCCGCTTTTTTTATTTTTTATTTTATTTTATTGTAAATTCTTGAGATGGAGGCGCCGCTTACTACTCCAACGGTTGTGTCCGCCTACCTGACTTGTTTTAGCGGGGGCGCCCGAATTGTCAACCATACAGGCGCCTTCATCAAACTTCTATGTCCCCGAAGACGGGTCATACAAGATGACCACTTGGGAAGGCACCTGGCCGCCGGAGTATGTGCCTTGGGAGACAACATGTTTGCCCACGAACGTGGCAGGGCCCGAGCGTAACTCCACCATCTCGGCCTCTTGGATGACTAGTCTGATCTCTGGGCTCGGGCTCCCTCGCACCTGGACGTATGCGCCTCCTTCACCTATAGCAAGGGTGGGGTTGTGTGGGCCCCGCTGGTTGGGTATCTACCAGGAGTACTTCCGGTTTGGGCTCCGCTTCCCTATAGACCCAATATTGGAGGGCATTCTAGACTACTACGAGTGCACCATTGGGCGCCTCTCTCCCTCTGTGATACTGATTGTCGTGCTTTTCAAGTTGAAGTGCCGCATTCACAACGTGCGCCCAACTTTCAACTTGTTTCGCCACTTCTTCTCAGTGACTCCTCGGGACAACTGTTTGTCATTGAAGCGGCGGAAAAAATTGCGCGCCCACTTCGTGACGCGTTGCCCAAAATTGGGGCGTACTTGGTTCACAGGCTTCTTTTTTATGAAGGCGCATAGGGATTATTTCTTTGAGAGTGGAGGCGCCTTCAGGACTGACTGGGAGCTTGGTACTGAGATACGCTTCAACGCTGCCGTCGCTCTTAGCCGAGAAGAGCGGGATGGCGCCGCCCTCATAAGTTCATCGCCTGTGGATTTGCGCCCAACTAGCGCTCGGGCGCCTATTTTAGAGGAATATTATGGAGATGGTGTGTTGAGTGCCCTTTTGCGTTTTACATTCCTTTCGGGCGCCTTAACTAACCATTCCTTTTGTTTGCAGGTACCAAATTTGGCCGCATTGCTGACCTAATAAAGAGCCGCTACGAGAAGATGACTCTTCAGGAGCCTCGGCAAGGGGTGGCAAACCCCGGGGATTTGTCTCCCGCCTCAGTCTCCACACCACAACCGGCCGCGGCGCCTATGGACAAAAGGAAGAGGAAGGCGCCCGGGGAGAAGCCAACCAGGACCTCAAGCGTGGTGTCTACACCGTCGGGCGCATATGGAAATGAGGACCGCACTCCGATCGAGGACTTGGACGATCAAGAAGAAGAAGATGAGGTGCCCCTGATTGCCCGTGGGAAGAGGGCAGGCGCCCAACTGACTCAACGAGGCAAACGACAAAAGGCCGGCGATGAAGGGGCGCTCGAGATCACCACTGAGGGAGAGGAAGGCGCCCCGGTGCAAGGCACGACTCGCTCCCAGCGCTATGCCATAGTAGAAGGGCGCCTACTCGGGCTAGATGGGAAACCGCCCATGTTTCAGCCCAGGCGTACTGAGATGGGGCGTGTTGCCCTATCTTGTTCCCCGCGAGCAGCAGTAGATCGTGGGTGCGCCATGGGTCTGGCTCTTTCAGCTTCCCAACTTCTGCAGGTGCCTTCCGAGATCTCGGAGGATCATCCATGGGCCGAAGTCGCCCGTATGGGAGCCAAGGTCTGTTCACTCGCGCCCTTTTTTTATTATTATTATTATTTTTATGGTAGCTTATACACGTCTCGCTGCTAGCACCTCTTCCAATACTATAACTTTCTGCACCCTACGATCCAAATCTTCCGTAGACACTACATCCCTTTTAGCTAGCGCCCGACAAAGCTCCTCACTCGTGGTGCACTCCTCAAGGAGGACCCCGAGCACCGGGGGTTGCACGTCTCTTACAGCCATGGCCACCGGGATCCACCGCTCATAGAACTCCCTCAAAGTCTCCCCTTCCTTCTGCTTAATCTTGAACAGGGAGCCTACGGTCAGCGTACGCCTCTTCCTACTCGCAAATTTTGCTAGGAACATCGCCGCGAATTGCTCAAAGCATTCTATGCGCCCCTCTTCGATATGATGGTACCAATCTAGTACCACACCTGAGAAAGTTGATGGGAACACTTTGCATAAGGTCGCGTCCGAACTGTTATACAGCTGCATTTTGGTGAAGTAGCTGTTAAGGTGGTCATCCGGGTCCGCCGTACCATCATAGGTGGGAAGTGGTGGAATGTTGGTACTGGCGGGCTCCATGAGCACGCTCCTGGCCAACGGCTGCCTCACCACAAACTGCCGAGGTGGGCGCCCCTGCATCCACACATTCCTCTCCCCCTCGGAGTCTCCGTAGTCGGCCAGGCGCCTCATGCTGGCTAGGCGCCTAAGTGAGCTGGACTCCCCTTCAGCCTCCATCGTACGCTCCCTCTTCCTTGTCGCGGGGCTAGGGGCACCCTCTTTCCGTATTTCTACCTCTCTCCTCAACATCCCGATGGCCTCATCCTGATCGGCTATGATCTTGAACAGTTCCTTCATAGTGACCGAGGCTCCTTCCGAACTCAGACGCTGGCCTTCACTTCCTTCGTCCTCCTCCCTACTAGGTGTTCGTCCTCCTGCCTCTTGAGACGCCTCCCCCATGATTTGCTCCTCAACTTCACTTCCACCCTCTTCCATTGAAACTAGGCGCCCCTTCCTCTTGTCTTCTACCGTCTAGTTGTGTTCTTCCCCTATCTGGCGCGCCAATTGTTGATGCCCGCTCGATCCTCCAACTCCCCTTCCGTACAAGCCCTCTTCTTCGTGGATAAGCCTGCACTCACAGAGGTGGGCCTTGTGGCCCGTTTGTCCTCCAACGCTCAAGTTAGTGCTTTTCTTAGTGAGAGAAGTGCTTGTTATGCAATATTTTAGTGAGAGAAGCCAAATTGAGTAAATGCTTACCAACCTCGCTATTTATAGCTGTTCATT